CTCCCTCAGCGCGGGAGGAGCATGTGCCTCCAGCTCGCTCCTCTCCGCTCAAGCGTACCTGGCAAAGGCCCTGAGAGAGAGGGAGAGAGGAGAGCAGGGTAGGAGACTCCCACGCCTCAACCACGCGCATGGACAACGGGGAGAAGCGACCTGTTCGTCTTCTCCTTCACATGCTCTTCCCACCGCAGCGTGATGCCGTGAGGATGCCCTGCCACCTTGGTGTCCCTGTCACTGCTGCAGCCAGGGTCGGACCTTCTGAGCTGGTGTGGTGGTGGCCGCTCAGCCACTCAGTGAATGCCACCAAAGACCAGCTTCTACACGGCGGGTGCTGTCTGGCCATGTCTCTGAGTTCCATGTCCCAACCAGGGTCACTCATGGGTGCTGCTGGGTGTGCCAGGCCAAGGGCTGTGATGCAGTCGCCCCCAGCTAGTGCCACAGGTCTATCCTGTGGGGTCACGGTGGGTTTCCACAGGTCAACTCTTCCAGGAGCTCGTGAGCCAGAGCATAGGACCATGGATGGTGGAGGAGGAGCACCTGGGTGAGCCTTCCCTGAGAGAAAGGCAGAGCCAACCCCATCAGCTCCAAAGGGACCCCAGGATTGTTTCATCTGAGTGCTGAAGAAGGAAAGAAGACGGAGTTTAATCCCCTTCACAGGCTCCAGCTCTCCAGATGTCCCACGGCTTCATCCAGAGCTGCTCAGGAAGGAGACTGGTCCTGCTTGGACCATGCAAAGAGGTGATGGAGACACTAGCATCACTGAGCTCTCCCTGCTGTTGGTCATGTCTACAGCCTGCAGTGACCCAAGCTGTGTGCTGTGTGACACCCACTGAGGTGCTTCCAGCCATGGAGCTCCATCAGGTTGACTTGTAGGATCCATTCCTGGCAGGCACAGGGACACCAACTGCCACCCCTTCGCTGGGGACAGGACTGTGGTGATGAGGACCTAGGACAAGCCCAGGAGAGGGGCACGGGTCAGGTTTCCAGCTGACCAACCCATCCCACACCTGGATGTACAGGCATGAGCTCTCACTTGGCAAAGAAGGTGGAATATCAGAAAGGGGCTGCTGTGTTCAGGCATGTCCCACTCCAAAGAGGTGGAGAAGGGTGAGCTCTGGACTTCCCAGCACATTCCAGTGCCACTGCTACACAGCTCCATTCCAACAGGAGGATGGAGAAGGGGACCCTCAGCACCCTCACCTCATCACCAGGGGAGACTAGGGCAGACTAGGGATGGTGGGACAGGGACAGGGCAAGTTTGCCCACTGTGCAGCAGGAAAAGCCTCCAAGACACATTACAGGAGGCTGGGAATTCTTCAGGGAGTGGTGGCCACAGGGGACAGCCCTGTCCAGGAGGACAGAATGGTGTGCACAGAGGGGTTTCTTGATCCCGTGGCTGCTGGGGAGCTTTGGTCCTCTCCTCATCAAGTTTCAAAAGCTGTGGAAGGTCATCTGGTGGGCTGGGCTCTTGGTCTGGGCTTCTTCAAGCAAGAAGATGGCTCAGCCTGGGGTCAGTTTTGTGCCCTGGAGCTTGGAAGCATTTCTGGGATCACTGTGTGTGCAGCCAGGGCTGAAGGTCGAAGTGACCAGAAGAATCCAGGACCCAACACTGCTCTGGGGAGGAGCAGGGTCTGAGCAACAGGATGTCACCAGCACCCTGGGATCACCACACCAGTGAGTGAGGGTGGTCTGAGCAGGGACAGAGCTGTGGGATGACACCCCAAACTGAAGGAAAGGGTCTCCTGTGACTGCCCTGGACAGGAGCTTGAGGTCCCCTTTGCCCAAGGCTGGAGCAGAGGTGGTGGCACACCATGGCACATGGATAGGCCAGGAGAGGGCCTGGAGCACAGCCTTCCCCCACAGCACTGAGCCTTCAGGGAGCCATGAGGAACCAATCCACAAGGAAAGACAACTCGCTGGCAGGAACTGCTCCAGGTAGCAGTATTTGGCCTCATGGGCAGGAGAAACCTTTCCACTTTCCTTGCCAGGCTCAGGGCTTGGAAAGGGCAACTTCCATTCTTGGATGGTGAGGACACAGCTACACGTGCTGCTCATCCCACCAGGACTCACCCAGAGAAGGGCTTGCAGCCAAGCAGGACCAGCTCACAGCTACCAGGTGGCCACACTCTAGGGCTAACCAGGCTCCAAGAGCTCCTCTCCCTACTTTTCTGCCCCTCTTTCCGTACAAACCTCTTCCTGCCAACCCCATGCCATGGATGGGCTCATCTTCCTACCTCCAGCTGCACTAGTACCAAATAATTTGCCTCTCAAAGTTCCTCTGAGAACTAGGATGGTCTGGGCCAGGAGTCCTATGTCCCATGGGATCAGCAGCTTCGGGCTGATGAGCATGGGAGAAGACAGCTTTGGGTTAAACACAGACACACCTGGGCAGGAACACACCATGCAGGAAAACCATGCAGCAAATCAGTGGTGAAGTCAAGAACAGCAGCAAGAGAAACATGGAAAACTTTGGAAAGACAATCCCCCTTTTTGTGGCCTTTCCTTTGTTTCTTCCAAAGTAAGTATGTTAAGTAGGGTTGGACTCAATGATCTTTGAGGTCTCTTCCAACCCGGTTGATTCTATGATTCTGTAAGTGCCAACAAGAGGTTTCAAACAGTTACAAAAGCCTGTCCTGCTCGTGGCAGTGCTCCCACCATGGTCCCTCTCCCCCTACAACAGCTCCAGCTCACATGGAACGCCACGGGACGAGTAAGTTCCGAGGGCAAAAACCACCACACCATGGATTCCCCTTGAGGATTTATCCCCAAACTTGCTATTCCTCCCTAAAGCCTCACCCCCAGATCTTCTCCAGAGGCTTTAGGAACTCATTCCTGGCCTTTCCCAATGT